ATTTACAATGTTTTGTTTCTATAATATATAAATTTTTTTATATGTACGTATATGTATAGAGTAGAAAAAAGGGCAAGCATATTTTATAACACAAGGTTAAAGACAAAAATGTGCAGTGCCAAGGGTTGCATACATTAGGGTATGAAAAATGATATTGCCTTAAGACACAGATGTGTATTCGATGAGCTATGTGAACTATGTTGGACTTACACTTTATCATGATGTATGTAAGTTGAAAGGTCTGTTACTTAATAATGTATATGCAAAACAGTGTACTTTCATACATCTTGATTGGTCAATTACGTGTGTTTCAAGAAAATGTTTTAGACTTTAAAATTATTTAGAATCTATGAATTAAATATAAATTTACTTTGTTCATATTTGTAAGTCAACATGATTAATACAAGTTGACTTATATCTTTATCTTATACTTAACAGTAAGCTCTTAGAAAAAAGAACGTATATAAATTTATTTCTTTTTCATTTTCTTCCTGTTAGATTTTTCACAAAGTAGGTAAGAACAGGAAGATCTGTGTGCATATTCTTATGGCATTTTCTTGAATGGAGTAACTGAGTTTCATGATCATAAAGTTGTTAGCTATCCACATAATGAATGATTCTCTCTTCAAACTTAAAGCAAATCGATTACTTATTAAATGTAATCACTCTCTATGAGAAACTCCTCTAAGTCAATACTAATGGTTCAGAAAGAAAGATATTTGTGATACTCAGTGACTCGCACGTTTTATCAGAGTTAATTTATATTCCAGTTAATCAATCATATGTCTATATAGTTTCACAGTCACTGCTGTGAACAGAGTATTAACTGAAAATATAAATCAACTTCTAGATTGACCTTTAGCCTTTATCTAAGCAATTAGATCTGGTCTATACGGAACTATATCGATGCATACAATACAAATATATGTACAGTAGTGATATCAGTCACAGTCACGTGTTATTTTTTTATTGCTGTAGCATGCGGCAATAAAAATGGAATTAATTCTCTTTCGCGGGTCGCGATAGTGCACTGCATCGATCTGTGAATTTTTGTATATAGTATTGTTCGTGAATTGAACAATGGTGAATTTTAACCCTGCCACAATCGTATAGCTATCGTTTCAATTAATCATTTTATTGACGAAAGACAATTGAATTTTTTTATATACTAGTGTTACCAAAGTACAGAATGAAATTAAAACAGAATGTACTCTATCTTAACCAAAGTTTATTCATTGGAATATTCGTCTTGAATTCATATCTTTATAAATTTTGTCAAGAATTTTTAATACATAAAGTGTGTACACTGTAAATATTCGAATTTGATTCCTCTTTTCTAGAAATTTTTTTATTCATACCTTTTTAATTCTAATACAAATTTTTTGTCACTTTATTCATTTTAACCGTTAGCAATAAGCGTTAGAAGTCGGAGTGTGAATTTCGTATAATGTAAGAAATATTACGTTTTCGAATACGCGTGACTTTGATTGTATGATCGATAGTATAATGCTCGTTAAATAAAAAAACTGTTTTTTAGAATAGACGTAGAAGGTAAGTGAAGAGAAAAATGGTCTGGAACACATTCGTAACGTGCCAAAATACCTTTGGTCAATTAGTATTTAAATGTATACATAACCTACCGTTTAATTTTTATGTAACTCGAGCGCAGATTTCGTGTCTGCTTTTCTGTATAGTCTACATATCACGTTTTCACGTTTTTCGAAGGTCTATTTCACCTTTTTACTCGTGATATTTCTAAAATAAAAAAAATGAAAAACATTCGCTGATTAACCTTTGTTTCATATCGACTCGTACGATTTTAATTGTGCAGGAGACAAAAAAAAAAGAAGCAAAAGTAGGACAAAGAAAAAAGATAAAACGGAGTATTGTAAAACTGTGCAAGAAGTATTTCATTAAAAACGCAGCAAGCTTTACCCTGTTATTTTTCTGATAATTTTTTAATTCTTAAAAAAATTGCGCTTTGCTAGTTCACAATATTTCACCCGTGTTTATTTTGTCGATTTTTACTCGAGATATTTAAAATAACGATTAATTAACGTGTCGTACGTTCCTCGCAGGGTATATATATATATATAACGAAAGCAATTAATTGAGAAGAAAAAATTCACAAACGATATTATCTGTCGTTTTATAATTTTCGTAATTCGCGAACGGAAGAAAAGGATAATTAAACTGTAACAACGACGAGCTTCGTTTTTAATTAAAGACCTTGCACGCGTATTTCTATGACTGTTACAGATGAAACTTTAATGCATGTTGCACGCTTAGATACAAAATATAAGATATAATGTATCAACCATTAACTACCTTATACAAAATTCTTCATTGTTTTCCGTGAAAAAAAGTTGGTAAAAAGCGGTTCGTATGATTGTACAATTTCGTTTCCAGTCTGAGAATTGTTAATGATTAATTAAGTTATTTTTAACTCATCGTTATTAAATAATTACCATAATTATATTTTTGATTCACTTTCTGTTCTTTTTTTTTTTTTTTTTTTTTAAAACAAATTTTTCCGAATAACATTTCACTTATTTAAGTAAATATTTCATAATTATGTTACACATGAATATTTACAAAGAATTACAGAAGTGTTTGATTAATTTTTCAGGCTGGAATTACGTGGCACAAGGTTCGAACCGAGCGTTGA